TGATAATCCAGCCTTGTTTTGAAACCGTATACCAGGGTTTGGGGCATTGAGAGCTCCACCACCGCAGCGATGAGCCACACAGCACTGCTGCATGCTAATCTGGCCCCTATTGAAAAGAAGTCAGCAGTGCACTGAGCCAGGTTCTTGAACAAAAGAAAGTTACATAACACCGCACAATCTGCGCTCTTTTTACATGGCTGCAGGCCTGGCTGAAATACTCGGGCGTCAATGAAGGTCACCTGTCAACTTAGAGTAGTGCCTAAAGATTATTTTGTGCGGCTATAAACATCCGTTAAATGAAATGATGAATTTTTGAAGAATTTTGAAAACGGAAAAAATGATAATTACGCCAGCCCAGCATCATCAACATTTATAAATGCCCCGGCAGGAAGTGGTTAACATGGGTTCAGGCATACCCAAAATAGACAGAGTCCAACAGTTTTTGTGCACAGTTTACTATATCGTGTTGGAATTTGAGTGAATGGGTATGGTTCCTCGTAAATCACTCTGGGGAGTCAGGGTTAAGGGGTTATTACACCATACTATAAACCTTTCAGCAAGGATTATGGTATCACTTTAAAGTAGAGATTATATGCCTTTAAATGACACCGGAGGTTTCTTGTCCAGGGTCACGTGCATGATTGAGCTCCATCACCCAAAATTTAAGGTGCAAAAATGTGGTAGGTTCACTTTCATGTGAAACAAAATCAACACAATTTCTCATTTTAATAAAAGATTATTCATTCAGCACACATTCATCAACAGCTGTGCTGGCTGATTCGGGTAATGCATCTTCATGTATGTATGTATGTTCATGTACCGGTAGGCAGATCTTTTTTTTCTGTTCTTCAATTCTTTAGTGAATTTGTCAAGCGCATTTTGTAGTGGCCCACCGGACCACCAGTTTTATCAGATCAGCTGGTCCGCCCACTTCTTCTGGCCTCCGGCCAGCGGACCACAGTTAATTTCAACCCCTGGGTACAATTTTTTTTTCCTGTCCCTGTCACATGTGACACATGATTTTGTAAGTTCAAAACACATTCTCTAATTTCCAAGAGTGATGAATTAATGCAAATTACCTGCATAACAAATGGTAATTAATAGTTTGAAATCAATTCCGGCCATATTTCCATGTCAAATTTAATAACAAAGGTCAGATGTAATGGGGCGTCGGGGACACAAAAATGTCACATGTTTGGACGCCTAATTTCTGGAATTACCCATGGACGCGTACACATGTGGTATGTAGACATGTGCATGAGCAATAATTGGTTGGATTTCGATTTGCCTATGTTTCTGCATTAATAATCTGCATACATGTATGTACATGTACATGTATGCACAAGTAGGGTACATGTACATGTCTCTTAAAATTCTATCCCACTACGAATAGGAAACTACGTGTACATGTACACATGATTTGATGTACATGTACCGGTACATGTACATGTCCATCTAGGATTAACAAATGACACAACTTGCAAGGCACAATTGCAGAGTACCCTGCCACCCATCTGCTTGGCTGCACCCATAAAGGGTGCACCGTCCCACTTCAGCATGTTCAAGGCAAATTCTCCGCCGGGCCAGGGTGCTGAAATTAACAGTACCCCCGCAGGTTTGTTTGAAAAAAGTTTTTGTGTGGCCCATGAAATTGCGGGATAGTTTTTACACGTATCATGGCCCAGAATCAACTGCCTGGGATCCGGGGCTTCCTGTCGAGGATAAAGCAGGCAAAAAATGCCATTCAAAAATTGTCCGCAGAGCCTGAGAAAGTAGGGGGATGTCATTTGAAAAATGGCTGTTGACAGACTTGGGAACGTTCACTTTTACAGGGGTGACTTTGTTCTAGGTGAATAATTAAAAATCTAATCTACTAAGATTTGAAAATCAATTGAAATCTGAAGGACCCAACAGCACATCATTTTTTGTTAGAGCTCGGCATTGGGGACTTCGGTTGCTTGCAACACCGTTTTCAATAGTGCTTAAATTAGTGCAGTCTAACCCCAGGGCTCCTCTGACTGACCTGAGTGACCTCCCATTGATAAACCAGACATCACGTACCTGTGCATTTGTATACAATGCATATATATGCAAATTGGATTGGATCCTGTTATTCATTTACATGTACTGGTACTCCTTGTCACAAGAGGGGTTTTTGTTTTGTGGTGGTGTGACGGATTTGTTTGTTTTTAGGATTCATGCCCCTGGAGAAATTTTTCACAGGAGACTTACATGTATGTATGAGAAACCCATTCCTTACGGACTGGTCTGGATGTCTGGTTCACTTCTTCAACACTGCCACTATGAATTTACATTGTACGTAGCTCGGGCCACAAGGGGGGGGACCTTCCATTTGCCTTGTTTGTTTTTTTTCCCTCCCCATTTATTTTACGCAGCCTGTAACAAATTTCAACTTTCTCTGCGAACATACATGTACATTGTACATGTATCATACGGTGTACATGTATCATACGGTGTACATGTATCCCCATATTAAACCGGGGCAAAACTGCATTGAACTCTTGGCTTTTTCCAACACTCCCCGTTAACAATTATATTCATTTGGTGCTGAAATGATGCTGTGGACTTAGCCAAACCAGTTCACTGACGTGATGGCAGAGTAGGGTGTCTCGCAACCAATAGAGTTGACTAGACAATAGACATCGCCGCTGGGCATCACCACCCAGTTTGATTTCAACGTCAGTGAAAGGCAAGCCTCAAATGATGCTCGTGACTGAAGATGTTCTCCTAAGGCCGTCTTACATCGAGATGATGATACACGCACTCATTTTGGTCTACAACCGTTGAAAAAAACTTTTGGGATATGCCTGAATGCAGCCCTGCAAGTGGGCGTGGCACTGATTACATCAATTCCTTTATCTTTCTACTGGGGTGATGTCCCGTACATGTACATGTAGTGAGGAGTATCAACAGTAACCATGGTAACCCTCTATGGATGGAGCAACGGAGCAATGCGAGTCCAAAGGGCTGTTATACGATGTTTGGCTACTGAAGCTTTTGCGACGTCTAGTGAAAACTTGATGTTGCTTTAGCCTGTGTTGTAGTCACCTGTTACAAATCTTGTGGCCGGCCACTGTACTTTTTCCACTTCCTCACTATGACTTGTCTGCTGAGGATCCGGCACTGTGGCTGCATATTTCAATTGTGGTCAAATCAACATTTTGACTTTTGTTGGCTCTCTTTTCAAGCTGTTTGATCACATCTGGAAAGGATAGGTCTCGCAAAGCCAAGTCATGTTCTGTATCAAAGCCCTGCTTGCTTATTTGGCTTAACCGTCCTATGCAAGGATGCGTTCTCAACACAGTTGTCCTATAAATCAAAATCAGTCAAGTGACATATGATACATGTACACTGTATGTCTATGTACTGTACAGGGGAATTGGAAGGAATTTTTGACTGTTTTTGACGGTTACAGCAAAAGGAGGGTTGATATATGGAGGGAGAGGAGACCACGACGAATCTTTTGAAATTACATCTCCAAGGACGCAAGCTACGTGCACATGCATGTATGGATGGTTGCAAACTGTACGGACAGGTTGACACATTTCATGTATTTAGGCCTATCATTCTGTAGATATTATTCATAGCTTTTGCCTTTCAACATCCTAATCCTCATACATGTATTTTGAGCTACGTACATCATTGTACGCCCTACCTGCATGATCATAAAACAACAAGCTCACCAGACAGACACAGAGTAACAAAACGTGCCAAAATACAAATAAGGACACGTACACGTACATAAATTAGCCTTTTGCGAGTTAACTTTGACATGTTTGACCCACATCTGGTACACTGAGTTTGTTAAATTCATGTGAACATAACAACTTAAATTCTCCTTACTAAAACCACTGTTGCTAAACCTTGTGATTCGGGGCAAGCTTTTGCTTAGTTACATAAGAGACGCCTTGCAACAATACACTGTTCTCAATGGATAAGAAGGGCACAAAGGAACTAGTCCATTCCAGAGATGGTGGTCGCTATGCAAAAGCTTGCCCCAAATCACATATGTACATGGTACAGCAATAGTGTCTTACTTTAGTCTGGGGAATTTAAATCATTATATTTATATGTAGTCAGATTACTCAGTGCACCAGATTTTACTCAAAGTTAACTCGCAAATGGCTTATTAAACCATATTATCAAGTGAGGCCGGCCCCATCATAAAAAACGCAAATGCATGAGGTTCATACATGTACATGTAGGCCTAGGCCTAGGAACTATTCAGAGCGGTCGTACTAATTAACGTCAACACAACGTCAACACGCGTCAACACACCCAAATCACGTTCTAAAGAAACGCAATTCAATAGCAATATCATGCCTAAAATACAATTTGGCTAACAACGGTAGGCAACATTTGGGGGGGGAAAAGCCGTTTTATTTCATGGAAATAACACCCTCCGCACAACCACGAAAGACGGTAGCCATATTGCCTCGATCAGACGGACCATACCATTACGCTACGGGGGGTCACCTTTATACAGTAAACCATGGTATAGTCAAAACGCCGTGAGAAGGCAAGATGGCAGCGAACACCAGCGCTGTTCAGAAACAATTTATTTTTTCGCGTGAAAAATTCCCTTGAAATGTAGTAAAATGTAAACTCGATTAAATAGAAATTATTCCTAAGCATATACATTACAGTTCTATACGTCTGTTTTCAATGCATTTTGTAAGTGTTGGCGGTGTGTTGACGTTACTATCAATGTGTTTACGCGTGTTGACGGTGTGTTGACGGTGTGTTGACGCTGATTAGTACGACCCGTTCGGAGTAGACTACTTCCCTCTTTCAATTCACTCACCGTAAATCGCGAATTTGGAAGTCGCTGAACTTGATTCTTCTCCACGTCCCTCCTAAGTAATCCCTGCACCAGTTGTACGCTTTCACCTGGGTATCCTCGGGCACTTTGGCCATACTTTTTCACCCCAGCAATATCGGTTTATAACTCAGTGGCCTCCGTTCTTCGTAAATGTAGCAAATGTGCAACTCATCAGGCGTCACGCGTCGTCGGCGCACCAAAGGTCCATCCTATTTACATGTCTGATGACTTTATTGCGACATAATTCACGTGCGTGCGGTCGGGTCACCGCAAGTGCGTGCGCAGTTGCGTCAGACAGCGACCTCCAGAGTCAAACGTTTCATAGTACCCATTCCCGAACGGCGATATGTTCGCGAATGGTGCAAAATCAAAATAATGACCACCACTATGGATTTGGCTGAAAATGCATAAAAATGTCTTTTTGATAGCTTTTATCTTCTGAATAAAGTATTCCTTCACCATGCTGTTTCTTTGTGTAAAATGCAATGCATTTTAAAAACAAATGAAAGTTGAATTAGTATTTTTTTTAATGAGGACAGGCTGTGATCCAGAGGTTGTGTCAATCAAAGAACGTGTTGGAATCACTCAACGGAGTGTGGGACTGAATCAAAATGTTAATTCACTAATTGATCCAACAAAGGATTTTTGTTTAGGAAAAAAATTGTACTTCGCAAGTTCCCCAAGACGCGTCGATCTCTGCACGGGGCACAATGTCTTGGAAGTGATGAATGGATATTGTGCAAGCCAAAGTTTGAGGTCATGTCTAATTTGTGTCCTTCTAGATTTAGATGCAGCGTGCACTAATTGTTAAACTGTCAGCGTTTTCAAAGTCGTCCTTAATTGGGGATCAGTATGTAAAAAATACCAGTGAAGAATTTTCTCAGAAGTGTAATGCAGCTGGGGAAATCTGCAAAATGAAACAATTTATACACGCCTTGTATTGCGTAAATATGACTTGACAATGGTGCTTGAAAAGTAAATTTCGGCTGTTTCGGAAATGTTTGGAAACGGAAAGAATTCCTCCTTTACTTGTGCCACGTGACCATTGGGGGGGTACCTAAAGATTTCTCAAAATGGTCGGTATCTTTTGGCCTGTCACAGAAAAACTCCCAAATGCCAGGCGCGGTAAGAAAGCGAAGATATCGGAGAAAATCGGGGAGGATTTCCTCTGTCCAGTTGTACCTGACTCTTACAAATAAACTCAGTAGTAGATTAGATTTATCGTAAGATTATCTTCCAAACAAAACACAATAACAAATTTTTTATGAACCCGCCGTGCGTGCGTGTTTAGGCCATCATGTGCGCCGTGGCTCTCATCTGCTGCGTAGCTCAACGGGAGCAGCGACAGTTTCTTCAAATTGTCCGTTTGAGAACTGGCTATCACCCATTCTCGAATGGCGAAACTTCTCATCGGGATGAGCAGCAACCCGTCAAAATATCCCGACCTTGTGCACGTGCCGGTTTTTATATCCCGGAACCGGTCAATAAACCGTTGGTGAGTCAGACAAAGGATTCCTACGGAGCTCTGGAAGTGTCATCCTACTTGTCGAGATAATGACGTATTTTATCTCAGTGTGGCGACATATTACGGGCAATATGGCGACATCATGAGATGTCTTATCGCAGGATGAAGACATCCTCGAATGGAGATGACAACATCCTGAGATAACATACCATGGAACGACAATATCTTAAAAAAAAAAATACATCTTGATAATATCCTTAAAGCTGGACGACGACATCCTGAGATAATTTAGCATGGGATTATGTCGACATTGTAAAAGGTAGACATCACACTTTGCTGGGTGTTGACGTCAAGGAATAAATTATACGCTAAGGATGTCGTCATCCCATAATGTGTTTTCTCAGGATGTCAACGATTTGCCTTCATGATTATGCCGTCATCCTGAGAAAAATAAGTCAGGATCTCAGCAAGTCGGATGGCACTTCCAGAGCTCCATACTAATCTACTCATTTGGCACAAGTTCAAGAATTTACTTTTTTTACTGAAGGGTGTGCAGTGAAATCATCCCCTCTGGAAGTACATTAGCTTTTTATCGTTATGAATAATAATACTTAATGGGTGCATGCGTAGTTTGAGCTTGCCACGGTTGGGGAAGAGGGCCGAGATTTTTTTTAACCCCACGTGTACGGGTACTCAATTACGCCGGTACTTGGTAACTTTCATCCGGTTAGCAACATTGATGATCTAGCTCACTTTAGGGGTTGGGGGTGTCTGTTGAGGGTAACCCACCACCGAAAATGTCTGTCAGTTGTGAATATGAATAAATAAAGCGCGACATACTCTACATTTTACAATAACTTTCATCAGGTTAGCTAAATTGTTGATCTAGCTCACTTCGGGCATTGGGGTTTCTGTTCGGAGTAACCCGCCACCACAAATGTCTGTCAGTGCAGCCGTGGATATGAATAAAGCGAGTCATGGTCTGCATTTTGCAATAACTTTCATCTGGTTAGCTAAACTGTTGATCTAGCTCACTTCGGAGGTACCACTTATGGACGTCTGTCATGCCCCCACCACCCAGCCAAACTGTCTGCCAATGGCACCACATGGACCCTGAGTGAGTTAGGCATGCTTGGATCAACGTAGGTTTAGGCAGTTAGCTATGATGGGTTGAGCTAGCCGAGTTTTTTGGGTCACTAAACTGCCCTTCTCTGTCACGTCCACCATGGCTGACCCGGCAGACGTCCAGATCCCATAATAATGGTATTATTGGCATATCATCATGTACCTAGCAATTGGTTAGCATTTCAGCTAGGCTCCCGGTCTATCAGGAGGGGCATTACGGTGATTGTACTTTTTTGCTCTTGTTGGTACCGTGGAAGCCACATTCAAGAGGGCGCTATCATCCAAGAGGGCGCCGGAATGAGACATGGACCATTCTTAATCTTGTAGTCCTGTTGTTTGACATTATTTATATATATTGTAACAGTGTTCAGAGGATAATATAAACCCACTGTGATCTCTCCTTTCCCCCTGTATGAATCGTTTGAGATTCCGACCCACGAAAGTTGTCACATAGGCTACTAGTTGTGATTCATGTTTTCCATCGCCACCAATTGTTCAGTTTCCCAAGTCACATGCCATTTTAACTCGATAAAAAGGGAAAAAAGGATGAGTGGCACTATTCATAAGGCACCACAGCATTTGTCATCAGAGATTGAAAGCTCTTGAAGTTGGACAGGAAATTCGGCATGAAACAAAGGTGTGACTCTAAGCACAGCTGTGTACAAAGTACTTCAAGTAATGTGGCTCTACACAGTTTGGTTTTCAGATCGACACGTGTGGTGCCCTTCTCTTGAGGGGATACTAATGATGTTTGACATTTATTTAAAGAAAACAAAGCTCATCCTGTTTTTTCTTCTTTCTCTCTCTTCTTTTCAAGTTGATACATCGATACTAATACAACGCGTACGCCCCCGTAAAAATTATCCCCAATACAACGTGGTTTCTTGTTACTGTCATGGGGCGGGGGGGGCTAAAATCGACCTCGACAATGAGAGACGACCGATTTGGGGAACTTGTTTCATATCTATACCTACTCAAAGAATGTAAGAAGAAAATGCCCTAAATTTGGCTTCATCATCCAGAGGGACTTACAAGATTAGAACAAGAAACTGACCGTTGTTTTTACGGCATCCGAGATACCCTCACCGGACAATATCGTTTTGGAGCCGCCTTTGGTTTCTGTGAGAACAAACTGCTCGTCCCCAAACGTGATATCCATGATCCTGTGTCGGTGTTCATGGTGCAAAACACAAAATATGAGCTACTTTCAGTTATGACTGAAACAAATTATGATGTAATTCATCAAAACGTTACCATTTTTCTTTTATATGAAATGTCAGGTTCTAATGAATTATTTGATAGAATAACAAATTTAAAAGAGACAAATTGTATTTTCCTCTGCAAAACGTTTATATACGATCGTAAAACTTTGTTCATGAGTTAACCCGACGTAGAGCACAGTTGATCCCATGGGGATCCAATTTTTTCTAACTACGTAATTACAAAAAAATTTTCGGCCAAATGCTAAAACCTCCTGTTAATTTGTACCTCTGTAGGTGCTGAACAGCCTAGTTTAGTCACCTTTAACATGGGGACTTCCCCCGAGTAATAATAAGTTAAGTTAATGAGTTCGATAATATACCGATATTATGGAATTTCAGGCTATTCATGGCGAAGGACAGCAAAGGATACCCTCAGGGAGAACACCAGAAAACAAAATAAGAAAGCGCTTCTGTATAATCGGATCATTTCTGCGAAAACCTTGCCGTACGTAAAGCATACATAAAGCATGCTACGAAATAATCGCGACTTTAATCGAGATAAGCCCTCATGGTCTGAATCTTAATGCTACAGTACAAGACGTACACGATAACAGTGGTGCTTACATTTTATTTATATTATGTCAAAACGCTTATAGAAACTGTACAATAATATCACAATATGATCATAAGACTTTCTGAATCGGTAAAACCTTACGCAAGTGTGTCCAGTTTAATACGCCAACAGGAATATTGTTCTGGCAAGAGAGTTTGTGAATCGTGTTGGTCGTTCATCTTTGGTACGGCGCGTACGGGGTGTAGCACACGAAATTACTTTGTAAGATTTCTTTTTCGACTCAACAGAAAGTTGATAAACACAGACGTCTTAGTCCGAGTTCAAACTGTGTATTCGGTTCCCTCGTCGGACACCAGGGAAACCCGTGACATTAAGAAAGGGTTACTACAGTTAACGCGGTGGCAGACCGCCACTGGCTCCCATCCACAACGGCAATAGTTCGGTTCTGCACATGCGCAGGAAGCCAATTGTGTCCTACATGTTCCGTCTGCTTCCAGCAACACTCTGGAGTGCGCTGCCAAGGACCGGGTGGTGACGGGCGGGAACATGTTACTCAGGCTCGGGGTCCGGCCCCCAAAAACCCTTCCGTGCCCCAGGGCGGTGTTGACCGGGTGGTGGGCAGTGTATGCGCCATCCTCCGTGCTCTCGGCACCGCACGTTGATGCCGCCTCGGTCCTGGCTGGCAGCGCCAGGCTGCTCCCAGATCCTAGACTGGAAAGCACGCTGCTGGCGCTGTTACTGCGAAATCCCGGCGGCGGAGGGAGTAAAGTCGGGCCCGCGTGCTGAGCATACATTGATGATCCCACCTCAACTGTTGATCAGAAAGAGGAAACAAAAGGAACGACCTAGTCTCAAAGTCATGTAAAATCTTTAACTCATCTGAGCGGTGTGACCAAGGGGAAACAGGGGGCACGGTGTTCCCCAGGGAGGTGCGCGACTCCCCTACCCCCACCCACCCCAATTTTTTGAAATGCACACAGCCTACGTATATTTACATAAATTTTATTATTTTTATTTCGGTCAAAAACATAAATTTAACTCCAGTTACGTCACTGATTTTAACCGCAGACTGGGCTTGAAATACAATAATGTTATGAACTCTTTATATATCAAATTACGCCTGTTTTTTCCCTTCGCTTAAACACCGAATTTACTATCCACTACAGAGGGCCTGTTTCAGGAACTCAAGTATATATTTTCTTAGTCCTCCCATTCCCGTCGTCTTGATGTTACGAAATTGCCCTTAAATTTTTATTTAATGAGCAACGTTTATTAAGTTCCCGTTTCAACTTCCTTTAGATTAGTTTCCAGCGCTTACAAGGGCTTCAGTTATACATGTAGTTTATTTAATCCATGAAACCCTGTTTAACTCCTGAAAATTATCCTTCCGCAGTTCAAGGCAGAAGTGATTATTTTCCCTCGAAATATGAAACCAAACTGACGCCCCCTACCCAAAACACGTTCAAGATTATTTCCAATAGGACTGGAAACTCTCCCAAAAGTTGTTTGACAAAACAAAGCAAACGGAGGAGCGAACTTCGCACCACATTATCCCCAAACCTCTGCAGATTACAACACCCCCCCCCATGCGTAAGCGAGAGACGGACACTTTTATCAATCCTTTTATCACCTAATAATAAGCAACAAAAGCCACGCGCGTACGTGTTGTTTAGACACCTGCTGATACGATGTAGACAGGGACTGTTTTCTTGCTACTGTTCCGGGTTCGAGTTCTTGTATTGCACGGTTGTAACGATGCACCCAAACTCGCACAGATGAGCATCTGTCCGAATATCAACCTTGGTTAGACGTTTACGGCTCCGGGTCTTTTGACGAGATTTTATTTCATCCTGTTCCTGTTCTATCTCTGTTCAGTAATTCCATGAATATATTTGTTTTTGGTCTACTAACCTCTCCGTAGTTTCGATTCTTTCTCCATGCATTGCATGCAAGTTCAAACTGGAATAGAGACCGGGCAGTGCACCGAGTTCCAAATAACTTTCATCTTTTGTCGGTGCAAAATAGTGCAGTTTTAGTCAAGGATTTTAGAAGTGCAACACTTCCGGTGGCGTACGTAAATCTGTGCCGAATATTAGGGGGAGAGGGGAGATGGGTCAGCAGCCCATCCCTCACTCCAAAAAGTGTGCAGGGGATATATACCCCCCCTCCCCTGGATTTACGTCCATGAATAGTTGTCTCTCAAAAAACCTATGATGTAGGTATCTTCCCCCGGAACCTTCGTTTGACTTCAAAAACTGCCTCCAGAAAGAGGCATAGATCCAATGCAGACGTCGCCATTCGATTTCAGCTTCTAGTCAGCACTCGTAAATTCGTTTTCCTTCTTTTGTTATGTGGCATGTTTTATTTTCGTTTTCTGCTAAAGAAACCTTCAAATGGTGTATTTCAAATATGTTGCCATTAACCGGGGGAGGGGTGTACAGTCTATATATACAGCTGGATAGGAGACTAGGAGAAGGAGCAAAGTGGGGGCACAGGTCAAACCAAAACTCGGTACAACGAACATAGTTACCCCCGAGTGTACAGTCACTTGGGTCAACAGAAGCCCAGAAATGTTCAGTACTCTGCGAAATCCCCTTACTTCTTAACTAAATTTATATACATATGACCTGTGCATTTTCATTTTGAGGACGACCCATATTTTCCTTCATCAAAGTCCTCACTGATTGTGTATGAAGTGTGCTAGGCTGAGCGAAGGTCCAGGCTTCGCCCTTTTCCCTACAACTCCTCAATCTTCGATTAACATGGTTTTGAAATCGTGCTTAAGAATTATGCAAAAGAGTGTAACCAATTCGACACAACTTGCTTATCACTTCCAAATGAGCCGAATTAGCTACTGATATGCAAACAAGCACGCGCGTCCACACGCCACGAGCAGACGAGAGAATATTTTTCCAGGGGGCCCTTCGCACCCTATTGTGACAAAGCCGCGTGCGTGCAGCGTTGGACACCTTCAGCCTATTTTTATTTTTAAGTACATGAATTGTTCGCGTGCAAATAAAAAGACTCGAAGTCTATCATTCATTCCAGTGCCCCGGTCTGCTGCAGGTGCGCCGAAGTTGTTGGCGTTGTTTATTCATTATGAGTTTCATTACTATAGTACACGTTACAGGCTTAAGATTGATTTTCAGTTCCGGGTTTGAGAATAAAGGCTTGCCAAACGATGTGGCATGCGTACTGCACAAGTGGAAAAGTTCACGGTTGTTTCTGCGACAGCATTTTCCAATAGTTTCGAGGACTCTCAATTCCTAACCTGACTGTAGTCCGAGGTTATGCAAAATAAAAGGTCAACTGACGATCGAGCACACCGTTGCGTTGGGTTTTAGTTTTCATTTCACCTACGTGATGAGAGAGCTCGTTAGGTTAAGTAAGACAATTAATGATAGACATTCAACATGACCAAAAACTTACAGCGTCAAGGGGACTTCGCACCTGGGGCGCCATTGTTTGAATTCCCAGTCTAGTTGCGTGTGTTTCCCAAGAAGTCTATCAGGGGTGTTTTTTCCCAAATTCATTTGATACCATCCCCGCGTTTTAACCCTACCAGGCCCAAATCCTTCGTTTTCAATGCAATTTTACATACACCCTAGGGGGTTGTGTTAATTTTGAGTTGGGTTTTTTTTCCAAAATGAAACCCTTTCGAGTAGGTTTTCTTCTCAACGTTTCCGGGAATGTATGAATGGTTTTTTACATCTCTTGAAAAGAGTTTGAGCCCGGCTTAGCTCTTTTGGGAAGATTTCCTGTTTTCCGTACTATGTATTTCCCTCTATTTGACAGCAGCCAACTGGTATCCCCTCCTACCTCCGTGCATGCAGGTGCGTGTGCGGACAGGACCAGGGAATCCCCTCGTGTAGAGCGCATTGTTGAGAACAAAAGTAATTCGGGGAACATTAAAACAGTTCGGGGGGGGTATTTAAATGCAGCTGCTAGGTACAATAAAGGAGACTCATAGCCAAGGCCAAAAACGCAGGCTTTGGAGAAAAAAAAACAACAGCTAACGCAGATCTCTTTTTCTTTTTCGACAAAGGGTACACACTGCGAGGCTGAGCTATAGTCCTATACAGGAGGGTGAAAGGGCTTCAAAATCGAAAAATATTCATCTTTATTTATGACGAGGTTTGTTGGAAAAGTGCGACACGAGGACAAATCTGCCTCCTGTCCTCCTCGTCGCCGTATCCCAGTATGATTCTAGGCTAATATCAGGTAAATTTGCCTAAAAGTGGACCACAGGATATAGAGACAACTATTTGGCCGCGATTTAGTCCAATCTCACAAAAAATATCGTTTTCTCGTAGTAACGATTGGATGATGTGATGTGAAGACATTGACTAGCGACGTGGAATGGTGGCTTCAGTAAAGCTGCCCTCAGTTTCCTAACCCAACTTGATTCACGAGTAATATTGGTCTGACTATACGTCTTATCTAGCCGTGGGACTGCGTATATTGAAAAGACTCTGGAATGGCTTACCGTAACACGCTTTCAAGCGTTTGCAAGGAAACTTAGTGTCAATTAAGTACTCTGGGCAGCTCCACTCCTCCGTTTCTGGATATAAAGGTTCGATCGCGCGGTTACTCCTGTTAATTAACACAGTAAGGTACGTGCGCATTACACTCGGATGCAGGAATACTGCCCCGCTAGCGAGGGTACATTTTCACTGACCCGCGGGTCGTACTTCTGCCGTTCGAGTACTCAGGAATGTACACGTGTTAACACAAGTAGCTCGCTCGAACGCGCCCTAGACGTACGATATGAGTGTGAGCGTGTCCAAATTCTTTGCCAGACAGCATCAATCTAGTCGGCAGCTATCATGTAAGTACACGTGTTATTTCCATTTGTAGTCAAGACTCCGGACACGGATACCGTAACCGTCTAATTTTGCCATAGTTTCTGAACGTAGCGTGCAAAGACTCCCTGCATCTTATTAAAATCAACAAATGCGATGGCATCTCGATTTACGACCTAAACTTCGTCGAGAGTTTATTTTTAGGTCTCTGACACTGTCGTGCAATTTGCTAGTTCAGAGATTGTGACTCGCCAATCTTGGCAAGTTCTTATCTATTTCGGATTTTGTTGGATTTGGATGGATCGGATCCGATTTTTCACTTGGAGCCAATGGATCAGTTCAACCTTTTCTAATCTGACCCGACGCACATCCCCTCTGGTTGGCAGTGCGGATGCAGAAGCCAGTTTTATGGGGGGGGGAATAAATTTTGTTTGGGGACCAAAATCAGGATTTTTTTTAAATTTAAGGCCTTTACATGTGTCCATATAAACCTAGAAATGAAACCTTTCACTTCCTTTTCAAAAATAGCATTTCTGCGTAAAATGAAACCGTTTAGACGCTGTCTAAATTACCCTTTGTCGGATTTCCTGTCAGCGCCATCCATGTTAACAATCCGTGGAATAAAAAAAACAGTTGCTCATGACGTAAACGAAATTTCCGCTTAAACCAGGTATGCTAAAAATAAATCACCTTTAACACGAAACCTTTCCTGGAATGTTGGACTGCACAAGAACTTTTGCACCGAGGAGTGAAGTTAAATGTTGCATTTCACCGACCGAACTTAACATGAAAAACTGATTGCTCCGTTCTGTCTCTAACCATTGAGGGTCCAATTCATGCTGGAGTTCGACTCGAACCCGCGATCTCGTGCTCGCAAGTTTCGACCTCAGTAGTCATATTTTTCCTTTATCGGGTGGCCTAAATAATGCATATAGAGACTACCACCGAAGTTATCAAGAGAAGAGTTTTCCTTCCAAATTTCTGTTGAGCCGTAACATCTGCATTAAACTAGCCTGCAGAGTCATTGCATATGCGTAGAGGTTTTACCGGTTTCCAAGGATGAAAACGTAAGGCTGTGTAGTTCAGATTAGTGTCGTTTGGAACGATACACGCTGTGTAAAAATGGAAAATTTTCTGAACTTACTCTTGGGCTGAAAACTTTAGCAGAAATTAATAAAATATTCTCACGGATTGTCCGTGTTTTGTGGGTACACTTAATAGTTAGATTTATTTCGGACTATCACGTCTACTATAAATAAGGACATATTAAATTTTGCTGATTTCCAGAAACATGTATTAACAAGGTGATGACCAAATCATTATTTGAACTTGTTAGCAAACAAGAAATGACACTTTTGATCACTGAGTGGACTGTTCACATGCTTGGGATTTTTCATACCTTGACTGCTGTCCCTAGAGCGCCACATCCTGCCGCTACCTGCCACGCCCGTCTCCTCATCCTTCTTCGTAGCACATTCGCACCTCAACGTGAGACAGCAGCAAACAAGTAACGCAGCCGCGACCAAGAGAACGATACCGACCGGGACGCCGATGACAATCCACAGATAGAAATTCTGGTCGTTGTTCGTTTGCTCATCCGGGGGGTTCATGCTGTCGTCGGTGGAGCCCGGGGCCGGACTCGTGCGTATCAGTGCTGCCTCACTCTGTGCCGTGGCAGAGGTTTCAGGAGGGCCCACTGAACTGGGAAAGGCTGTCGCCTCATCACCAACGAAATCGCTCTGGGGGGTCGGATATTCGGGTGGCCTCACCGGGCGGCTTGGAGTGGGCTTTGCCAAAGCTGTCGTTGTCGGTTGGCCTGTGCCAGCCACAGCTGCTTTGGCCGTGATTCTCTCCGATGGAAGAGCCGAGAGAGGGGTGGTCCGGCGAGGCCAACTCTCCTCGCAGACCGCGTCCGCGTCCCGACGGCAGGGAGTCACAATGGCCAGCGGCGGGTCGCAGTGTTTGGTGCATTCCCGGCACCTCCCGGTCGTGACGTCCAGGAACCAGTCGGAGGCGCAGGTCGAGGGGCCCGCCCGTGGCGTGGGCATCGACGGCGAGCAAACGATGTCTGCGTCCGGCAGACACTCCCGCGTCCTGACCGTGTCGATCGGGCAGAACTGGGTACACTCCTCGCACGACTCGGTCGCTCGGTTGTAGAAGCTGTCGGCTGAACAAGGTTTGATGGCATAGGATGCCGTGCTTTGAGTAAGAATGAGACAAATGGAGGCCAGCCAAGACCAAATTTCGGAAGTCATCGTCCCTAGAAGATAATATTGAAAGAGGTACTTGAACCCATGGCTAAGTTAGACCAGAAAAAAGTACAAGCGAGTAGTTACACACTTTTCAATGAAGACACAAAGAAACAGGAAGTTTCCGGAGGGAAATGACGGACCTGTTATTCAAAGTTTTCATCGTCCAAGTTCACCCTCCGATCCGGACCAAAAAGTTACTGGACATTCCCAGACGCGGTTCCAGAGCCATTTTTGTTTTCTTTTTTTTTTGGCGGGAGGGGGCGACCCTTCGCAGGTGACGCCGCCTTTTAGCTTTCGCTATTGCCTTTTCATTTTGCTTTCTTTTTTTTGGGGGGGGGGGGGCAAAGGCCAGTCCTTTTAGACAACTCAAACTTTCCCAGGATTTCTGTCCATGGCCCTATCCACGACAATGTCACGACCGATAATTGACAAAAACTAGAACAGTCAGTCCTGACAGCAAGAGCGGTGACCATTAGCGGCGACCGTATAACAGGATCTGGCCTCGTCGTACAGACAGAATTCTGAGTTGTTTTAAGACTTCAGACATTTTTATCCTGACACTGAAGGGTACCCTGAATACGATGGCTCACGAAGTTCACAGCCCTGTGTTTTCCCTTTCGACCGATCTTCTATCTCCCCTCCCAAACTCTCTCTCAGATAATCGCATGGTGTATTCCCAGCTCTTAACTTGCGCATGTCGTTTTTGCAGTTTGTATTTTCCCTGTTGGTTTGGTTCCCCACATAGCTCGCGATTTTTTGTGGTCTTTTGTGTTCGCTTGAGTATCGTGGGCTTTTTATCTTGGCAGCGCGACTCTTGCTGTAGTGTCAACATGCACAATGTCACTTTGCCCTTGCCCACTGCGCCTGTCCTGTGAAGCATGCAGATAACGCACTGTGTGGTTATTTAAATCTCCTGCCGGCATTGTCTACGACTTTTTGCACGAAAACACATCAGAAAATAACGTGTTTCCTACAAAGACTATCCTCTAAAACCAAAGTAAGGCCTATCTCAGGCCTCGTAAGATCTGTGGGGTGTACTTACCTTGATTTTACGGGTGCAGAAAGGAACAAGTCGTGCCGTTCACAAGCATTGCCGGGGAAACCCACGCTTCGTCTGGCCGCATGACGGCTACTTGCTTTAAATAAAAGCTGACAGGATCAGAATCCAGGGGGCGCTGTGTTGTTGCGGATTGACAAAGAAATTGACCCAATTTTGCCAACGACTGGAGGTGTTATTTGAATGTCTTTAATGTCATACTTTCAATGGCATATTTTGAGGCCCAATTACTCCAGGGTTTGAAGGGCCTCGGCCATGAACAGGCCGGGGAGTGGAATTAAACATCTGAGTTATTTTAAGAACGAACTGCGGTCTCTATTATGTTGAAAACACATTGTTATCATTTTTGCAATATTGCGACGGCTCTCAGTCTAGGTCACTTTTGAGTGTAGCTAGTCAATTCTGTGGCCATGTCCTAATTACTTCGTCGAGGCTTAAAATACCACACAGCTCTGAGAAAACGTGGTAGCAGTCTCATCTATAGACTCGTGTGTAATTTCTAAGGAATTCAGACACGGCTTTTGTGTGGAAATTTTACCCAATTGTCAAATTCGGTCCTGATTCTCCTGGTAGTATGATCTTGACGCTTAACTAAGTTCCTGCCATGCCTTGCGAGAAATAGAACGCAGCCCATTGGATCGAGACGAGGCTGTCCATGCACGTGCATTCAGTGGGCGCGGTAAACCCAGTAGTACTTGGCACATCAGTAGTCTGGACACTCTACCAACCGTCAGCTTTTTGGGGTTAATGGCACTTATAATCTTTGCTATGGGAAGACGCCATGTTTGTTGATGTTTGATGCCCACTACTATAAAGGTCACGTGACGGTCACGTCTATTCTTCTCTCCCTAAGGGCTGACTTCGTTTTACAGAACCTTCGGGTTTTTTTAAGAACCTTCGTTCACGCTGTAGGCATAATGTTAGGGCGTTTAATTTCTTTAATTTGAATAGCTATCTCTTACATCCAAGCTAAAAACAAATGCTTTTACCCACTTGTATCATTTATCGGGTAAAATTTCATTCTTAACAGATGATAGTTTCCCAACTTTTTTGTCTTCTGAATTGGAAGCTACCTCATTTTTATTAAGTTCAATGTTTTTGAAAATTGATATAATTTTAGACTAAACAAAGCTGTAGACACAAGATAATCTTGCTGGGGTTTCCTAAATGTATCTGGTTCTTTGTTTAGTTTGAAAACCACCTTACCAAGCCAATAAATGCTAGAACAATGAGACTGCACTTGTTTGGGCCGACAGAATGTACTATAAATTGCTCGATGTCCCTCGGCCTTTTGGGAAACCGCGTAATTATTGTAAATTGGAAGGTCAAAATCAAGCGAAGCGGGACTGAAAATGAAGCCAAAATTTAGGAAACATCTGTCCTCCAGCCATATCGAAACCTACTTTGCTGAGGCTTACACCGGGCTTTATGCTTTACAAAAGCATTTTTCAGGCTTACACACGCACGCTACATCCCTGAGTTTCCGGGTAGGCCTACGCTCGTTTCTTATTGTTCGAATTCATTTCATTTTTGTTTTAGTTTCACAGACTATACCAATTATGAGAGACGGTGAATGATCGTCGATTAGCCTTGTCAATGGGTTAAAGTATTCCGAGGAAACGACAGACTAGTATCGATTCTGCGGAAGTGTATATGAACAATATGAATGAATGCTGGTACTATTTACTTTTTTATTTTTCTTCCACAACATAGCAAAAAAACAAAACAAAACGAAAAACATTTAACAAATAACACGGATTTGGTCCTCCAAGCTTCGAATAGAAATGAAAGGTAAACATTACATTTGGTCTCCTGTAATTATACAAAGGAAAATAATTATAACATAAAAAATAAAATTAGGACATTATTCCTGTTACAAAATATATTACAACTACATTTTATGAAATAAGCTGACAGTTAGATGTTAATGTTACGAGTGCTTGACTGTAAGGATTACATGTATACTGTTACAACAATTAATGGTTTGTGATTATAAAAGAAAGAAGAGCGAAAACTATCCTCTCAGAGTAATAGAAAGGAAGATATCCAAACTCTTTTGCCTTAAAATAAGTATGAGGAAACTTCTAGAGACAGTTGTTGGTGATTATTTGACCTGCAATAGCAGTCTCGATATTACAAAAGAGATCCTAAGACTTACCATCACAATTAGGCTTTTTCTGGTGCAGCTGGTTTGTCCTAGGGTTTTCATAAACGCCTGTGCAGCAAAAAAGTGGGGGAAATTGTCGGGATTTCTTCTCCGTCGAGACTCATAAAAGCAGTTTCAGTTCTGAGCACTTAGCAAAGCGGGAAATAACCGGGACATTTGAGAGTTTGGCTTGATTAAACAAGGCAAAGGTCATCTGAATCGACTGGTCCGGGAACCTGACTGTAAGATATCGTTTTTCACTGTTCGTATCGTCGTGTGAATGGCTATTGGGCAAACATCAGTAAACTAGTTGGCAAATTCAAGTACCTTGCGAAAATAGGCTGAATATAAGAATTATAAACCTGATGTATTCTCACTTCTAAAAATTATTTACAAATAAAAAGGTAGTCATATAACACAGTATCATGTACTGTTTTTTACAAAGTAGTCCTAAATACGGGAAGATAAATTCAGAATTGGGCTCAATTTAATCTGTGAAAGCTTCAAATGCCGCTTTTCCACTCCCCGAAAACGCATCTTACGAACGCTCACTGAGATTACAAAGGCTGAGTGCGGCTTCGTGCGCTTCAGTGTGTTTTCTCTTCTAGTTATCGCTCAAAGCCCGTCTCTTTTTGTCTCTTTCCCCTGGCACTTTTCCTCAACTGATTTTCTTTTTCCCGTTCTCTTTTCTCATTTTTAGTCCCTGCCGTTTGTCCGCTCAAGAAAGTTTCTAAAATCGTTTGTAATCTGTTTGCTACCGTCACTCATTTAGAAATTATGGTTTAATGTACCCTGCTTGTCGGTGCTATTGAAATTAAAAGTATGTTTTTAAGAGGAAACTGATCTAACCTCTAACCTCTACAAATACAGGCGATTCACAATAGGGCGCCTCCAAGGGTTTGCAATGTGTTGGCCAATCACGATGCGCGAAATCTGTCGACCTAATGCGCGTTTGGAAAGGGCTGACAGATTTCACGTGTTGTGACTGGCCAGCGCGTTGCAAATTCTTGGAGGTGCACTATTGTGAATCGCCTGTATTATACTTAATATATTGTCAGACAGATGTTAGGTATACTTCGATTGAATATTTCGCGTTAAATTCTATTAATAGACTTTTCTTTATTGTTATAAGTAGCTCTTTATTATTTTACAAAGACGCCTGTACCGGCTGTTATTCCTACCGTCTTAGTCTTTAAAGTGGTCTGAAGATGGAGAGGGAAAAAGTACACGTTGCTGAACTGTGGGGCATTACTTATCCGTCATGACATATTACACACTGCTTTGTGGGTTTTGATAATTTCCGGTTGAAATTGAGTAATGAAACTGCTCACCAAAGTCATATTGATTGGCATCAAAATCTAACAATGTTCAGCTGTTCTTCCTGTTTTTCTTCTTTTTCATTCGTCAACTAATTCTCATGGTTGGGCATTTATACACCTGCTGCATCTGTAAGAGTTCCCCTATATCACCACAGTGCAGTTTTTCCTTCCCAAGCCATCAGTTATAACGGTTATGTCTTCGAATAATATACACACCAATTTTGAACATTGGACACAACGTTCTCGCAAAATGTACTTTTTCCCTGGGCGGGACAGCAAAACATGTTTATTTTTCTCATTGATGTGGTCAATGCAAGCAGGCCAACACGCGTGAGCACGTGAAGTACGCTGAAAAAGACCATTACGACAAAAACAAAGTTGAATCGAATTGGAATTTCGCAGAGGCATTGCAATCAACGGGTTCGCGTGCATACTTTGTTTTATGTAAAAAAAGGTTGGGCATATGGACAGCTGAGCTTTTCTGCAACCCAACTGTGAGATGGTCCCACAACCAGTCTCAAAAAACAATTTACAGAACTGTATATAAGATAATGTTTTCAATTACTGTTTTGTTCTATTCATCACTCGGCTCTGTTGCTATGAAGTGAGTCAGATTTGACACGCTCCTCGACATCAGCCGCGTTTTTGCGACCGTAGTTATCAGGGTTGCTCGGCCGTTGTTCACCTCCATTTCCCGGTGGCGAGTCAGGATACTCATTGCTGCGAGGCACGTTGTTCGGCTCCACAGCCGGCTCAGAGCGAGTACCGTCTTTCGGCAGTTCGTTAGACTGGAGCCCGGTAACGACGCCAGCCGTGCCAGCGATCTTTGGACGGCAGTCCACGTCACCTGGGCAGGGCTGTGTCGACGTGGGCCTGGCCGACACGGTTGGGCGTGAGGATTTGCCACCTTGTCTCTTCCGCGTCTTTCTCCGCCTCCTCCGCTCTGATTTGTCTCTCCTCCGACTCGAGGTGGGCTTCCCTCGTCCCTTCTCGGGTCGTTTGGTATCTGGACGTCGGCAGACGGCGTCCGCCTCTCGCCGACAGGGCTTCGTCATCACCGAAGGGCGAGGGCAGAATTTCGTGCACTCCTGGCACAGCCCGGTCTGGCGGTTGTAGAAAGCGTCGGCAGAGCACGACCTGGTCGATCGCCTGTTGACGCTACCGACGCGTCCTTCGCCAGGTTCCGGCTCGCCGCAGACCGTGTCTGCGTTGTGCCGGCACGGGCTGATCTCAACTAACGGTCCCGGGCAGGGCTCGGTACAGGCCAAGCACTGACCGGTCGTGGAGTCTAAGAAGCTTCCCGTCGGGCACCGGAGCTCTGGCCTCTCAACTCCAAACCCCGTGACCGACCGTGGGCCACCGGTCAGGGACAGGCACAGGCAGGTAACGACCGCTCGCAGAAATAGTGATATTTGCATTGTCTGAAAGGCAATGACAGGGCACTTAAATGATCACAACGAAGGAACTGACAAGAATCAAAACCCACAGAAGATGCAACTTTGGAAGGCGAGGGGTCTGTCATGGATTCGCGCGGTGACCGATTATTTAAAGGGCACATGTACGTGCTAACACGACGAGTTTGTATGACAAACCTGTTGTTTCTTCAGCTCCCATTTCACTGTTTATGAAAGGGAATAGCCTTTAAGATTTTAGTGTATTGAAAGTACACCATTTTAAGCTTTTCAATATATCTTGTGCATCTCCTCTTTCAGTGAGTTGTTCTTTGGAAATTCCTTGAATTTTGATATTCTGGTTCTGTTTCGACTCCTTTCTGCCCAGCCAATACTTGCTTGCGTCTAGGAGATACTGAGCAAATTGTTTTAGACTCTGAACCGCATGCCCTCGGTTATTAGACCAAACACATCTGTGCAGGCTGGCAGGTCATCTGATCATGGAAAGAAGTTTTCTTTCCCACTTAGGGTCGTCGCCATAAACAAGTATGAAGAAATAAAAAAAAACGAGGTAAAACTTTGTATATTACTCAGAGTATAGATTAGGCCTGGTTGGTGTAAAGTTTTGTCCATACCGCACAATCGATAAATAAGCCTGTTCGGTGTTTCAAACGGGCAAGGTCGTTCGACAACAAAGAGTCAGCGTATGGCTGCGCTAATTGGGTGGATCTCGCACGCGCGTTTCTGTTCCCGAATGACCTCGGATGCACTCCTTTTTGTGCATGCGCTCTTGGAATATCGAACTGCGCAATGCCATAAGATTTTTGTGCGAATTTGCCGCACGAAAACTAGACACGACTTTGACTGTGCCCAAAACTTTCCACGGCAGGTTGAATACAAAAAAGGAGAACTGTCTTATCTTCACATCTCTTCACGTGGCTCCTCCCCCACCCCAGCTTTCCCCGCTTAGGACATAGAACTTATACTTCTAAAACACAACAAACGTTCACGCCTACCTCATCAGTTTGCAGTCTCAAGTCAACCAGAGCATTCAGCGGCAATCGTGCCTACGTCGGCCGTGCCATTTCAGTGTCGAGCAGCATGACGGATTTTCCGGTGCTTCAAGCTTCCTCCTTATATACAGCAAAATCGAAACTCAAAAAACCACAAAAGACGTTTCTTCTGGAAAAATCCTTGGGCCTAACTCGTAAAACCATTGACGGATTTTGTGGTTCGTTTTTCACAATAAAGAGACACCTTGGACAGCCAATCCTTCTTATACAGAAATGGGAAACTTCCGCTGTGACGGGCTTGCCCTGCCAGGTCAACGCACGTGCCAATGCTTTAAGCAAACTTTAAAACTTAGCCACCAATCAACCTCGGGCTTGCCTGTGACGACACAATTTCCTCTAGCCTTGCGGTTCCATACAGCTTTCAAAACTGATCGAACTACCGTTTGTTCCACAAAGACTAATTTGCATATGGATCGATTAAACATTATTTCAGTGTTTCATATCCTGTTTTGACAGCTTTGTAAAGATAAGCTTCAGTTTCACACAGTTTCAATTGGAATGGTTCCCCCTTCCCCACACGACAAGAGAGATCGTGGAATGCTCGTTTCTGATTTCCGCCCCGGCAAGCCAGATTCTCTAAAACGAGACGAGGCCGGTTCAGGAGGAGAAGAGGAACTGATTTATGGGGACCAAGTAAGCAATACCACGATGAATGCAAAAGTAAGAACAATCTTTGCGCACATCCATTTTATCTAGGAAATCAGCGACAAAGTGTCAGACATGTGCACCAGTACTCTGGGTGCTTGGTTTTGAGCATCCAAGAAAGGGAAAATATTTTGTGTGGAGGAGACTGTTGTGTGCCCCATCTATCCGCTGGTCAGGCCTTTGAAGCAGAATATTCAAGTTCCTGTGTCATTATAATCGGGTTTCTTGTTGTACTTTAAAATATTTTAGGTATCCATGCTGATAAGATGGATATTTTTTTAGATGCTCTTATTTAAAACCAGTCTTTTTTTCCTACTTCATTGCTACGGTAGTCTTGGACATCTGGATAGCAGTTTTTAACTCTTTGTATTTCCAAGAGAGCCCCTGTGTAACTTTTATTCTTTTCGAGTTAAGCCTATTGCAAAGTGCACTATTGTAAGACTGCAACACGCGAGAGCAATCCGCCGTGGAAAAAGTCAATCGTGCCCGTTTTTGAGGTCAGTTTTTATGGTGCTTTCTGCCCCCACAAGGCCGTTTCATAACACCAGCCAAGATAACTGAACTATTTACCTAACAGCCCTCGCAAACGACTTTCCGCTCATCAGATGGCTCTCGGGTGTGGTAAGCTTTAAATATTTTTTAAGTATTCTTCACGTCTCCTAGTTCCGGCGAGTGATTTGTTAGAAACGGCAAAAAGGGGTATATTGTGCATTTGGTTTCGACTCCAGAATACCAAACTGAGTCGTGCTTGGACAAACCCGTGATAAACTTTTGAGCTATCCGCTCCTCCGTCGTTGTACAATGTAGCCAACACCTGTAACAATGGAGAGCAGTTTTTATGACAAATTCCCTCTGGTTTATGTATTTGTTGGCACTAAGCCAGGTGGTATAAGACACTGGTGGGATACGTTATCAAAGTTGGAAAGGTTTGTGCACAACCTCTCGCGAAAACACACGAGGTTTGTTGGCATTGCTACTATTAGAATGCACCTTAACTTAAACTGATACCTCGTAACACGATCAATACTGCTATTTCCTTTCCTTCCAGAAGGATGTAAAAAAAAATACCCAAACTGGCCTTACACCTCAAAGAGGTCACAAAATGTTATGCCTAAAAAATATCTCCTGAGGTTTTTGCCCTTGAAATCTCCCCCCCCCCCGGAAATTTGGCACTGGATCCGCCCTTGACTTCAACCTGGGGTCCACATTACGGTCGGAACAATGACGTCATACAGTTAAGCATACTAGTCATTAGCCAAACTACGAAAACTGAGGCAGAATGTTTCGCGCAAACTTCACTCTATAACATCTGTCACATCAGTGCCTAGCACGCGCGCCCCCAAATCGCTGGGTGAAAATCTCATTGTCCCTCGTATTTGGCCGTTTGTTGCAACTCTGGTGGCGTACATGGTCAATAACGTCTTGGACGAAATCTTTTGATTAAATGGTTCCCTTCTTGGGGATAAATTTAATCGGTTATTGATAGCCAGTGCATGGTATGACCATGTTCATGGACTCGATTCAATATGGTCGACTAGATTGTCCCAACCCTACCTGTTTCAGGCAACGCGTCGCTCAAACTTGCCCATATCACCCACTACTTTGTGGGTAGCGGTTGGTCCTGATAACGCCCTCTTGCGGCATGGCAGCGGATTCCTGAACCAAATAAATGGCAATCAGTCCCAGCACATAGGATGGCGCCAACATAACGCATCTTTCCAACAGAATTAAATGTTTAAAATATTGTAGACTTCCTGACAAGTCGGAAGATAGTCATGTTTCGTCTGTGAACTTAACAGTCAAATCCGTCGGTGCGGCTCTCGTAAAAGTAATGTAATTGGCCGTGTTCTGACTTCAAGGGCACTGCTCATCAAAGCTTGCCAAACCCATCAGGTTTTCGGGTACGGCACTTTTCCCCAGTACGTGAATGGCCAGTTACATTTATTGTACATATACTGATCCAAGACACCCAGGGCTGTCGCTCTGGTCTTTGACATAGTATATGGCACATCTCCCCGAAATTAGTGCACTGGTTGGCTTGCAACTTTTGTGACACACCAAACTGGAATGCAAACTCCCGCACCAGTTGAGCGTGTCTCTCTTTGTCATTTCGGAAAGGGTGTGCCTCCATCCAATTTGTATGGTTGTCCCCGACGACCGAAATCCGCTACTTTAAGGCTGTGCGTCTTCGGCCTGTGCATATATAGTCTGTGCTATATATGCCTACTTTCTCACGGTCACCTGTTCACCATGCACCTCTTTGACAAATTCCTTCCCAAGTTTCTGCAGCGAAATCAATAGCCATCTGATCGATTTGCTGTCATCAGACTCCCACTTCTTGTACATTGTGTTCAGCACCTCTTCTCGGACTATAAACTGCTCCTAACACGGTCAATGATGTCCTAACCTCATCGGCAGGGTACTGAGGCATATTCTCCCATTCAGGGCGATATTTGTCCTCCTCTTTCTCTCCCACGACCAAGCTCACGAATGGTCGTGGCCTCGAGTTGAGCCCAAATCCACTCATCCCCGGAAATCGTTGCGTGGGCTGAATCGCCCCTGGCCAACATCTCCTCCGCGGAATGCCCCCTCAGGCTTCCTGCCTGCGCTTGTCGTCTTCACCCCATTTCTTTCCGGATCTCTACTGGATTTCTGAGCAATATTTGTCAATAAATGCCAACTCCATCACTACGTCCTTAGGGGCACTTCAATTAAGAGGTCACCTATGAGCGGTATGATTAGTTGTGTTGTCACCTTTCTTCGCTACACCTAAAGTTTGAATTCTTTCAACCGGCTACCTCCTCCGCAGACACAACGTTCGACGAGGTAGCCAATTAACTTCTAGAATACTTAGGACTTCCAGGCTTTAGCTTTAGCATTGTACATGTCTCAAACTCTTCAGTACTACTCTCAGATGCTCTGTCGTCTGTGTCTATCTCACGGGAAGTGTGTCAAAATAGCCAGCCCACTCCTTGACAAGTCAGATGTCAGTGTTTGGTTGACAAGGATATCTCTTTCTCAGTGAGTTACTTACATTCCAACAAAATATGAAGTAACCAATGAGTCAAACTATCCAGCGATTGATAACAGTTGACACTTAATTGTTGACTGCTCTGACGGGAGATATGACGTTCTCAATAACCTAGGGTAGAGTGCAAACTCCATCATCCTTTTGAAGTCTTGTGATGTATCGGATTCGTCTGATGGCTTCACCCATTCTCTGAAACAAGATTGATGTTGGTTCGCACGTCAGAAAGTTCGCTTCTGGCATATGGTGATAGTGAGGTAAAATGATGGTTTGATGGTTTAGGGTAGTCCTTTTATGTCTTTTTTTGGGGGGGGGGGGGTAAAGCGTTGAAAGCCGTCGTGGCGTATCCCCTCGGGTAGAGCTCGAGTAGGCGGGTTCAATCGCGCTTCGGCTTCTTCTGAGCTGTGACTATCCGGTTGGTAATGAGCCAGTTCGGTATTTCAAACAGCCAAGGTATTTTGGGAACAAAGTGCGCGCGTGGGTCAAAGTATTGTTGCGCTGATAGGACAGACCATAAAGATCATAGTGAAGTTAGAGGTGTCAGGCCCATTCTTGTACGTTTCGTCAAGTTTGCCCAAGAACAGGGCGACATGATGTACTATTACGCCGCCATGTAAAGCGCACGCGCTTACGAGATCACGTAAGAGATCAAGTTGTTCGTGGGACAAACGCGCCCCGTGTCACCTCTAGTTCAACCTTGTTCCCATGGGTACGTTCTTTCCGCGCCATGTTGGTTCCCATCATGCCTTAATTGCGAGATCTAACCCCTGGTATTGTATTGGGGATATTTACATTATAGTGGCGCGTTAACTGCCGGTTCCACAGTAGACCTTTTCACTAATAAAATGAGAAAATGATCACCAAAGTCACACCCTCTACATTTTCAACGGCCCGTTTACACTTCTTGCCGCCAAGGCCATTGTGCGCATGGGTACATAATTACGAATTTTTTTGTGAAAGGTCTGTTCCCAATTCCATGTAGCTCTATGTGCAGTGGGCGTGGTTTGAACTGAAGAGACGTCATACTTACGAACCAGATACGCTCGACGGTTTGGAGACAACACGTTACGTCATCGTCGCCTGACATATGTGGACATTCTGTAACCTGTAGCAGGTCAGAACTTGTCATCCCAAATTGAGGAATGTTATTCTCTCTAAACAACGGTGATGGACCATACAATCGTGATCCACTTCTTCCTGACACTCGCGGATCGATCACCCCAGCAGCCACCGCAAAAACTTGTCAGTGCGACCCTTCGCTGTCTCTGTAGCACTGCCTCCATAGCACACAACAAACAAGAATTAATCAGGGCCAATTTCTTAGAGCTGCTTAAACATAAAATTTGCTTAAGCGGGAAAAAAACTTTGCTTAATAAACAAAGGTTACCAGCTCACACTCTATCTAATTGTCATGCTAACCCACCCCCCCCCCGAAAAAAAACCAGCTAAATACAATCCCAAAACAATATACATGTACATCACGT